CAAACTATTCCTATTTTGCTCCACAACAGCCAGGTAGTTCTCCTTCTCAATCTCATACTTGGTAGTGATTTATAGATTTAATTTTGGTACAAATTTGTTTCAATTCTCTTCTCAAAAGAAAACTTTTTCTTTACTTGCAAGTGTGAGTCCCAATCTCTCCTTATTCGATTGCACAATTAAAAGTTTTGTTATATAACCCTTGGAGGGCAATCGCCGTGTCTACTCATTGCATGCACCAGGGAGATTTTGCTTCAAACGTGAAGACACAATGGTGTTTTTTTTTTTTTTCCTACAATGGTGTATTAAAATTAAATCGTAAGAGTATTAAATGGGGAATTAAGTATAAAGTATCATTAAGACACAAACACAAGTGTAGTGCATCAAGAATAATACAACATATGTTGGTACAGAATATGGCATTTACGGAGTATTCCGTATTAATTAGTAAGGACTAAGGACGTGATATTGTTTTTCTATATCATGTTTTCTTTGTTACAACTTATAAGTTACAACTACATGTCTACATGTTCATATTGGACTTAGTTAATAGTTTTACACTCTTACCCAAAGTATAAAGGTATGGACCAAACCAATAAGTAAATGTTTTCACCTTTTTACTTTTTAGTTATAGTCTCTTTTGCACTTCTTTGCTCTTGGATAAATATGCAATAATAACATTTGAGTACTCCTTTTTGACACAAAAGGAATAATTATAATTGAGTCACAACTACATCCTTTGTACTTCTATTACAAATTTTACTAATGAGCATGTTTTATTCGCAAGTTGTATGTTAGGCTATTCGCAAGTACATTTACTTTCTCGTGTGATCATGTCTTTGCCATTCAGCCTTTAGATACATTGATTGAGCGAACTTAGAATTTAGAATAATAATGATGAGCTTGATTACAATCCCAAAAAAATTATTAATAATAAAATAAAAAAAAAAAAATAAAAAATAAAAATAAAATAAAATTAAAAAAACTAAACTTTACAATTAAGGGTAAATGTATCAAATAACTACTACGTATTAACTTTTTCTATCACATTAATATCATTTGACGTATTTTTGCAAATAAAATGAGGATTATACAGAAATTTTGTAAAACTGAAGAGGTAACCACAAATTTTCACACATTCTATTTGCATACAGATTTTGTGCTCCACCAAAAACATAAACACAATTCACAACAACATTCGTCTTTGCATCTCTATTGAGAGTGTTGAGACACCCAATGAGCAACATACCAGATGCTCTATAGGGAACGTCTCAACGGGTTGAATGGTGAAGAATTGGACCAGGATCAGCCCATTATAATTTGTTGATTAATACTTCTTTGATTTGTCAAATGATATTACTTGTATTCTCAAGTAGAATTGCTAATCCTAAACATCAAATTATTGGTAAAAAAAATTAAGAAAGTTAAAGTAACCTACCATGATGTCAAGGAATCTAGATCTTTTTCAAAATCAGGAAACTTGTACTATATTGCAACTTGGCTATTTAATGCCGGTTTCAGTTGGAAAGACATTATTAATAACAATTTCAATGTTGGATAACCCATAATTAGTGGAGTCCTAATCTACATTATAATAAGTGTTGAATAATTGGGCCTAAGCAGCTAATTCTACCCACTTGCAACATGCAAGTTGGACCTTTTTTTTCTTGAAAAAGATACTAACACAAAGGGAAGTTCCCATATTTAGCATAAGAATTAGGGCCCTGGCTACAATTTCCATGAAGACCATCTGTTCCTTATAGACTAAAAGAGGAAGGTTTCTCGACTACCAATAACAAGTCCAACTGCCAAATAGTACTAGTATTATTTGATCAGCTTATAATAAAATTACAGGTACAATTCAAAGTTGATTGTGTTTTAAACAATCTTCTTTATAAAAAATGAGAGTACAGGCAGAACAATAAAATATGTGGAAACCGAGTGTATATTAGGGCACATTGTGTTAAAAAAATAAAATCGCGATAGGATAAGTGAAATACGGGACTTGAAAAGTGCTAGGTTGCCTATAAATAAGTTAAGACACATGGGCTTGACACAAGACACAACATGACACAACGAAGAGATATCTTTAGCCACATCTAATTATGAATCCATATTGGCAATATATTAAGAGCGATAAAGAAGTGAAAGAGCTAGAAAACTAAAAAAAAAAAAAAAAAAAAAAAAAAAAATAAAGAAGAAGAAGAAGAAGAAGAAGCTAGTAAACAACTATAATAAGACCATCACAATTTGTGTGGCAAATAATGATGATGATAATAAAACTACATGTAGTTTTGTAAAATAAGCGACACTACTTATAACGCTAGTAACTTTTTTTTTTTCCCTTGGGAATGATTCTAAATATTGGAAGCAAGACGACTATAGGCATGCTATTAGTGGACTAATAAGTGATATACTCCCTAGTAATATCCTTACATATCCTTAGATTGTTCAAGAGCCAAGGAAGATTAGAATTAGTTTAACCCCCCTCTTCTAACTTCAATCCGCATCACCAGCATGCAGGTCAGAATTCAATTCCCCCTCCCCTGCAAATCTGCAATATCACCTTCACCATCTCTGTATGGTGGCACCTCTGGAAGAGAAAACACGTATTGGGTTTTCCGAAATTCAGACCTCTTGATCCCAAAAGCATCGACACATATGCCCTGTAGTCTCACTGAATTCTTCCCTAAACGTAACCCAAAACTAAGCAGTTCTGAATTCCCTCATCATTTAGGGAACTAACGATACTTTGGAGGCTTCCTTTCTTGCCCCTTTATATAGTGCAGGGTTACAGGGTTGCAGAAGAAGGGTTGCTGCCTTCTAAATCAAATCAACTACTATGTAACAGCTGCTAAATTCTAGCCATTTTTTTTGGTTGAAAATGTACCAAATTTAATACAGCTACAGATAGTAGTAATACACCACAACAGATAATCTTCTTACTACGTACTGCTCGCATGGAAATATTTATGTATAATGTGAAGGGACAGCCAGGGGACGACTCTGTTTCCAAGATCAAGCAACAGAATAACTAACATATTAGCAATAGCAACAGTGGCGCAAATAAATAGGCCTTGGCCTTTGCATCAAAATAACCTTTTGCATAATATTTCGGTTCTGTTAAACTTCTCTTCAGACCACACCACCACACAGACCTATAAGCTGTTTTCTATTGCTAACATTAAAAAAAATACTACAGAAGGGGGAGTAGTAAACTAAAGTAACTTTGTGCAGGATAAATTTTCAAATGAAAGTCATTTACAAGTGTTTTCAAAGCCAAGGAAGGAGGGGCACATGAGATCAAGACTCGTGAGAGATACGAATATAGGGTAGATTTCTAAATTTTGTCCAAGAGACTAAGCCTCCATTTGTTTCGACGAAAAACAATTTATGGAAAAAAGAAACCAGTTTTGATGGCGATTACTATCAAGCTGAGATGTCGATCTTGGGGGACATAGTTTAATGGTTTAAGATACTGCTAAAAGGGGTGAAACTAATGCGGTTTAAATCCGGACCAAACCGCAAACCAAACCGAATAAGAAATGTGGTGCGGTTTTTTTTCTAATATGGTTCGGTGCGGTTTGAGGAATCCCAAAACCAAATTAATATGGTTTGGTATGAAAAACCAAAAACCAAAACCAAACCGATTTATGGCCTATATCCAAATTATAGCCTAGTCCGATACTAATTTCTATCCTACATATATATAGCCAAAGAATAACAAAATTTGTGTTTTTTTTTTTATGACCTAGAATGTCAACCAATGTGGGCGATGTTGAAGTGAATGACCAGTTAGATGGAGCAAAACGGAAGAGGATGAAAAATTTCGGTGTGGTTCGGTTTTCTTTTGAAAAACCGAATTTAAAACGGTGTGGTTTGGTTCGGTTTAAATAGTAATATAGTGCGGTGTGGTTCGGAAAATCCCAAAACCGAATCAATGTGATTTGATTTCAGTTGGGCTATAAACCATACCACAAACCGAACATTCACCCCTACAATCTAACATTTTCATCCACATTCTCATCCCCATTCCGCCCCGGCAGGTACAATTCCAAACCCATCCCCGTCCTACCCCCCCCCCCAAATTGGATATCCACCCCTACCAAATCCCCATCCAAAACCCGCCTCTCAAATACAATACTGCATAATATAGATTATAATTAAAAAAAAAATTGTTAATGTTACACTTTTAAAATTTTTAAACATTAGTGTATATAAAACAATGTATTATATACACTACTTTATTATAAATATATATTTTTTTTCAATATAAAATAGTAAAAAAGTTTAAAATTTTATTTTTTTAAATATAGAGATGTGGGTATGGGGTGGGGGTGAGGGTGGGGCAGGACAAGTATGGGGATCCTCGCCCCACCACCCGCCCTATTGACATCTCTAGTTCCCAAATTAAAATCTCATTTCATTAACCTTTTAGTCTTTGATCCTCATTTCTCACTTATCTATTTTTTTTATTCATTCTTAATCGATCTAAGACTATCATCATTTTTTTTTAAAAAAAATATTTTCATTACCAAATCCTATTATCTTCATTTCAATATTTTCTCCATTCCTTCATAATTGACACGTTTGAATTATTTTTACTATTTATACACTAACTTTTACCATCGTTTTTTATAAAACATATTGTTAAATAGATATTAGTATAAATTTCATATTATCAATATATTTGCATGAGAATGAAGTATTTGATCTTAAGGGATGGAAGAGGAACATTTTTGTGGATGATTATATGGAATAATTACTTTTGGTCTATGTAACCAACCCCGCTTATAAAATTAAGACTTTGATTGATCGATTGATTGATATTACAACATATTTATATTACTAAAAATTCATCATATGTATTTAAGTTCAGACAAATGCATTGACACGTGCGCCTATAACTGTGTCAATTATTCAAGAACGAATGGAGTATTCAATTATTCAATTAATCAATTAATGAAAGAAAATGGCATAAATGAAAATTCTACTAGCAATAGACTTCTGAGTAGTATAGGGAAAGTAGATTTCCGAGTATTATAACGGGTAAGGGAGTTGATTCACCTTCCCTAAATTTTGTGTTTGGTGAAGTAATTTGTGTTGGAAGATCTTTTTGACCAAATGACCAATTGAAGCTTGATGTAACTTGTAAGACTAAAATGCATAGGCCATGAATTATCAAATGAGCATCCTCAAAAACGTCTTCTATGTTACCTCAACACGCTATTGTAATCTGACACTTCAAAACAACACAACACCCAAATCCTTTGACACTTCACTTTCGTTTGTATTCGTTTTTTTAGTTTTACTCACCTTTACTTTATAAATTTACAATAACTTTTTATTCATTTTATATCTACAAACCCACTGACCACTTTGCGACCCAAGTATATTAGATAAAGCTCATATTCTATCAATTTATTCTTTAAACCAAAAGTAGCCATGTACATGGTCTCCATATTCACTTTTCATTGGTTTCTATTGGTATAACAATTGAGTAGAACTCAAGAAAACGAAGAGAGTATGAAATTTTATTTTAAGTGTTGATGATATAACGCGGTGTTGGAACACGATACGTCGATACCCAATCCGAGTCTGAGCAACATAGCAGGTCTACTTCCACATTTCCATTTGTGAGAGTATAATTGTAGAGTGTAAACTCCGTGTACAAGAAAAGTAGAGCAGCCCCCCATCAAATAAAAAATAAAATGAAAAACACCCCATCTAAGGCATATTAACAAGACACCAAGAAGGGGCAGTCGTCGTTGTTTGTATTAAAATAAGAAAGCAGTCGTACGTCATTAGTTGGTCTGAATTCCAAAATAATTAGATATCTAAAAATAGCAACCTAGGAAATGCCACACGTCGGTGATCTATTAGCTAGACAACCCTTTTACTTCTAGTAGCCAATGACATGAAATAGAAATTGATTCTTATAGGTGATTGAGCACAAACCCCCAAAAATAAGTGTTTTTTGTCCCCCTTTTAATTTCCATTTACGTATAAAAACTAAATACTTTCCTTTTATGGTTACTAACCACGATTTGAAATCAAAATCAAGCACAAAGGAAAGGGAAATCAATTTCCAGATTATTGCAAACCTCAGCAAGTACTATATACCACAACCAACTTGTATTTCTTCTTTCTTCTTTTGGCTGCCTTTTTACAAGTAAGCCTTGTATTTCTTTTTTTTTTTGCCCCCTTTTTTCTTTAGCCCCCCAAAACTTCTTCAACTGTTCCAAAAATTCCAATCATTTTTCTTCCTTTTTGTGGTAAGATTACATACTGAATTGAGTGAATTCTTCTTTCTATGTTTCACTTTTTTGCAATGTTTTCTTTCCCCAATTTGATCGAAACATTCCCCAACTCGAATTTCTTGTGATTTTTGACATTAGGTGGATTTTCGAGCAATTGGTCAACAATATGGGAAGAGGGAAGATTGTAATTAGAAGGATCGACAACACAACAAGCAGGCAAGTAACATTTTCGAAGCGAAGGAAAGGATTGTTGAAGAAGTCAGAGGAATTGGGCGTTCTTTGTGATGCTGAAGTTGGGGTCATAATTTTTTCGAGTACAGGGAAGCTCTATGAATATGCTAGCAACAGGTTAGTGGAATTTGAGTATTTCCGTATTATTGGGTCTTGAAATATTTCCTTTTCTAGATTCTATTGAACAGCTCTTTTTATAACAATGAATTCTATATAACAATGAATTCTAGTGATATTCATCTCATATGCTTGATTAAAAATAAGTTGTCTTGAATTTAGATCAATTTAAAAACATTTATGATGATTTTAAGTTAATCTATCGATTTTATGCATAGATCGATGAGTTCGAAAAGAATAAAACACCTTACTATCCCCAAAAAACGTCACTAATTAAGTTAATTTGAGTTAACAGAAACACGAGCTGTTCACATTTTTTTTACATAAAAAATTAAATTTCTCTCCTTTAAAAAATAAACTCAAAGTTTAGCATTGAAAATGGAATATAGACAAGATTTGATAATGTGATACTATTAAGGATGTAGCAAGAAAATAGGAGAGCTTTCAAGAGAATAACTAAAATGGATGTGTTTTTTTTTTTCTTTATTTATTTTTTGGTCACATAAAGAATAAAGCAAAAGAAGAAAGATCAATACAAATAACCTCAAAGTAAAAGACACGTAATATAATACTACTAATTGTGCTTAATGTGGGATTAGTACGATATTCCAGCATTCAACAGACAATCAATTGATAATTACGAAGAGATAAACTAGATTAGTACCACTAAATAGGAATTAGTACCATAGATGATGGATATCACTGGTATATCTCTGGCAATTGGTTACCTTATCTAGGTTAATTACATTGCCACATGCTCTACCCAAAAATAGATAAAAGATAAGCGGTTCATATATCTCTTTTATTTAGCTTTCGATTTGATTTTATAGGGCCCAGACACTGTCACATCTAGGAAAAGATGCTATACTAATTCTTCAGGTAGTCATTATAAGGGCTAAAATTAGTAAGATTCTTCCTCAGATTAGTTCTAGAGGAAAAATACTAGGCTTCAGACGTGAGTATTGAGCACTAAGTTCTTTATTTGGAAAGTGTAGTTTTGGTCAAATTGCCTTTAAATAATACTACCTCCGTCTCATAATATAGTTTTTGTTTGTGTTTTTTCACGGTATTTAAAAAATAGGAGGAAAAAGTGGATAAAGTACATTAATAAAAGTGAAAAGTACAGTTATAGAAAAAAATTAGAGAGAAAAAGTGGAAAAAAGTACAAGGCATGTGCAAAATTCAAGGATAATTTAAAAAGTACAATGAATAAAGTTAAAAAAAAGTGAGGATATAATGGTCTTTATATACTATCCTAAAATAAAAATAAGAACGACATTTTGGATCTCCAAAATAGGAAAGTAGGAATTATATTATGGGACGGAGAGAGTAACAAAAGGCTTGTTTTCCAACAAGCTCATCAGTTGACTAAGAAAGTTGTTGCTGATGCTATTACCTTTGCTAGCTCTTCCATTTTAATTAGCTAATGTGTTGTCATATTTATAACTTTTGATTTTGTTATTCAGATTTTACACGAAAAAAAAAAAAAAAAAAAAAAAAGAAAAAGGGAACCATTCGTTTCGCTTTTGATAATTTTTTTTGATTCAATTACTAATTTTGTAATTTAGATAATCTTGCTAATCTAATACATAGTACGAGTAGGATAGAGGCCTTGTTCAATAATATATAAACTAGTTAGTTGTATCAATTAGTTTGACTAGCAGGTGATATTAACTAGTTTGTCTAATTGGTTGAAATGAACTACTTATGTAATAGTGTTGGGTAACTAGCAATTTATTGTTAACTGTTTTAAATGTTCAATAAACTAATTTTAAATAGCTCTTATTATGAACTTATTCAAAAAGAGCTTTTGTTGATAAGTTGTTTATCAAACTCTCAAATTTGCTTTCTCATAATGTTCAGATCTCCAATATGCATCAATAAGCTACAAGCTCTATAAACACTTCTAAAGAAAAAAAAAAGTGTAAAAAGATAGGTGAGTGTTAAAAATATGGTGAATAAACAAAGAGTAGCGTAAGCCCTTCAAAGTAAAAGGAATAATATAGTAAGTTAATATACCTACAATAAACTTTCATATGTATACTTCCTCCGTTTCTTTATAGTTGCAACACTTTCTTAAAATGGAGATGTCTCAATAGTTACAACACTATAAAAGAAAAGTTTTATGGTGAAAATTGTACTATTACCTTTATTTAAAACTCGTGCCCACTTGATTATACTCCTAACCTCTTAACTCCATTTTAAGTGTATTATATCATGTGATGTCCACTTTTCTTAAATACCGTGATAAAGTGTGTGTTTCCATTATAAAGAAACCGAAAAAGTATATATTAGAACGGGTAAGGATGAAAAATGAGTAGAAAGAACTCATAAATATTATAAAATTTATAGTAAAAATAAATTGATCTCTAAAAGTAAAATACTCACAAATGGAATATTTCCTCTTTATTTAATATGTGTGCTTTATTCCAATTTTTGTAAAGTTGTGACAATATGGTAATACTAACCTCTCACTAGTCCCTCCAACCCCCCAATTTCATTTTTAATAGTCTTCACTCTCTCCTCTCCACAATAACCTAATAATGCTTTTTCCAATTTTTTTAAACCTCAAACATATACCACTTCTATAATAATTTAATACATTCAACTCTTTATTCTCATTTTGGATCCTAACAATTTTATTAGGTGCCCAAAAATACTCGCTTTTAATTATCATACATAGCATTTATTCATAAGAATTAAGGATGATAATGATAGAGGTGACCAAAATTCGGGCGGGTCATAGTATAAAATCTCATGCCCTAACCCGTAGAAAGCGTTGAGCTTGTCACGCCAAAACGGGCTTTACAGGTTTTAGGGTCGGGTTTTTAACTATAAATGTATTTTTAAGTTTGCCCAAGCCTACGCTTTTTGGGCTAGATCGGGTAGGGTCATTGTTGATCACCTCTACATCAAACCTAAAACCAAATTTATGTAACCGATAAAAATATACTACATTTGCTTCATAATATGTGTAACAAATGCCTTGAAACAAACTACAAGACAAAAAATATTAAGGTATGACCAGTAAATTAAAGGGTACTTCGTATGTGATCAAGTTGAGGAGAGAAAGTAGGGATGATTAATCAATTAAGTGGCTCCACCCCACCACCACCAACACCCTCTCCATCCAAGCCAATCGGAAGTAGCCACTAACACGCACACCTAGCCACAACAATAAGCAGCAGCCACAACACACCCATTCATACCCCACCAAAACCACCTTACCAACTCAACCCACCCCATCCCCACCACGACCAAGATCCAAAAACCCACCTTTTACCCACTCGAAACGTCATTTATTATACCATTCCTTTGGCGGAAATCTATAGAGAAGGGAGAAAATCTCCTCTGCCAAAACTCTTGTCGGTGGATACATAACTAATTAAATTACAAGTACTTTTTCACCAAAACACCTACATCTTTTCCCCACTCACCGCGAAACCATATATATTACCTTGTAAACACCATCCCAACCACCCAATACCAAATCAATTAGGGCTTTATATAGTCAAGACCATGAAAACTCTAGATTTAGAGTTTCATAGTCAAATCGACCATAAAACCTCAAAGTGGTGGTACTGAAACAAAAAGAAAGGGGAGAGGGAAAAAGGGACAACGACGGCTTCTAACAAAGAATGCGATGGTTGCCATTAACGGTGGAAATTGAAATTTAGAGAGAGAGAGAGAGAGATAGAGAGAGAGAGAAAGAGAGAGATGTAATTTATGAGTTGATGAAGGGAGAAATTGGAGATTAGTGGTGGAAGGTGGTGGTTGGAGGAAATGGGGAGAGGGAGAGATGAAATTTGAGGGGGAAAAGATAAATTTCTGTTGCGGGTGAAATAGGTGGGAATCATTAGATTACCTTTTTCATAGGAAAAGAGCGCAGTAGATCTATTCAAATCAAGCTTCGCTAAGGTCTTAACCTTAAGGGAAGAAGTCCATACAAATTCGTTCATTACAATTTCCTGTATCCCACCTTGCCACCAAGAGGGCTATGGTATTCCTTGCTCTTTTCACATGACAAAACTTACAATCAATAAACAACTTAGCTAGTAATCTAATATCATCAAAACCAACCATATCAAAGACCAACCATGGGATTCAGCACACAATTTGTTGATAGCATTTAGCGTATTTTAGCCAAACCCATGCACACCCAAGTCTACAATAAACGACATGACAAGCCAAACCTTAGAACTGTACTTCGACTAGTTGACCCTTCCAACCAGGTATCCACTTCACCGCAGCCCACAAAACATTGCCCCTATCGTCCCTCGCCACAGCCCCCAGAGCATTGTCGTCAATGTGGGCGTCGACATTAATCTTCACGGTTCCCACAAGAGGGCAAACCCACGACATCGCTGTTTGTTACCTCGTAGCGGGCTTAGGAGAAGCAACTTTAGTAGTATATAGGTAATGATCATGAACAAGATTTTCAAAGCTAGAAGCTATGGCTCTCAACTCGAAGGATAAACCTTTGAATAGGTGTAGTCATTTGTTCATGCAAAACCATATAGACCAAGCCAAGGCCAATATGGTTTGTAACTCATTCGGTCATTCCTATCCACTCTGCTTGCGAGCCACAACTTCTCAAATAATGGCATTTGTTTAGGGGGGAGGGGTTCTTGTACACCATAAGAGCAAAGCCACTAGCATCCTATACAAGATTTACATTGGCACAATAGAAGAGTACATGAGATAATGACTAAATTTCCACTCCACACGAGCTGCACATTACCAAAGGCACAATGTGACGTCCGAAGAACAACTCCTAGCACATTGAGGTTCCTTTACATGCTCTCCACACAAAGTTAGAGAGCTTTGGGGTTAGCTTACTCCCCAAACTAGCTTCAACATAATCATATCATCACCATTTTCGCAAGCATTACCCATATACTCCCTCTGCATCTTCCCAAACCAGTAAGCTGACTTGACATTGAACTCACCACTTGTAAAGGGCCACCAGAAGCACATATCTTTCGATGTGCAATAGCTAG